GTTATAATTAATTTTAATTATGTATTGCAATTTCAAATGGTATGTATGATATGAATACATTGTTTGTCTAATCAGACTGTGTATTCGTATCACGTCATATTCATTTTTCTCTGAGAACATTCAAATGTATTACAATGAATTCAAAATGTGTGGGTAGAACAACTTCAGAAGTTGTAGGTTGTAGCCAATGATCTTGAGGTTTATATAAACCTGTCCATAGTAGGAGTACATTAGGGTGTCTGCAATATTAAAAGTTATGAACAACTGAGGTCATTCCTATAAATGATACGACTCCTACAAATTAAATCTTAAAAGATTACAATACCTATGTTCAAGCAACATTTCTATACATACACATGCAACATACACATACATATTAAATAATATGGATTAATTACCTTAATGACAATACTTCAACATTTTTCATCTTCCTTAAAATGCTTACATCAGTTAATTCTGTTCCCCTATATACACGTCATTAATAGTTAGTATATTTAATTCTTAAAATTCTTATGTCAACTCTAGATTATTTTATATGACATTCAANTTTAACATTTTTATAATTAAAATTTATTGTAATTGAAACATATTTATATAAATATAAAAGTAAGGTAAAGATGAAGTGAATTCACAAAATCTATTACTTGAGTGCATACAACACGAATGCAGTTCATTTAGAATGAAGAGAATTTATGTTAAATGGAATAAAAAAAATTAGATGCAAATAATTTCCCACGAAAAGTAAAATAGAATGACAGTTCTGTAATGTAAAACAGGAACTACGTTGAAGATTAAATCAATCACAGAAAAGAATTGTTCACTGACAGAACAGGTGTCCTTACGAAGGATACAATATTTATGAATACGTACCAACAATTCAGCTTCTTTACAGCAGAGAAATCAGATATTCGTGTCCGAGCCACGACCATTTCTTCTGTCAACTTCACCATAATGAAATTTGTAATCCTTGCACATAAATGTAATCGAGAAACAAAATGGTAATACGAAAAGGTTCTGCAGATATTATAAATAATTACGAGAATAATGTAAATTAAACCATCACGACGAATTTCTCAACTGTAAATCAAAGACGCAACCAAAACCCATCGCCATGATGGTGTTTCGTCGACTGGCTGGATTGTTGGAGTTGGAGTTGGAAAATGTGGTGGTCGTTGTACTTGTGCTCACGTATATATGTACAGGGTACACTGGGGCTCAAAGATTTTTCAGACATAGTCACATAATAATTATGCAAATCACGAGACGTGCAGTTAATTTATCCCTAGTCGCTTTTATAACTTGCTAGGGAAATAGTTTCAATTTTACCGTTGCAGTCCTCTATCTCTTCTTTTTATTACAGTTTGAGAGTTTCGTAGAATCGGAGACGCATTCCGCATTCGTAAAGTTCGTAAATGGAAAACCGTTGATATACTATGTTGATATAACACACGTAAAAAGATATACGAAACCGCAAATAGAAAGATTTGATGATCATTTGTATACTATAACACGTGTACTATAGTGTACTTTATTACTTCTGATATAAACCATGCAAAAAGTTGGAAAGTTGAATTCCTCGATTGATATCATACCATTACAAGGATCTGTCGACGATTATAAGTCGAAACCGATGAATAACAAGCACAGAATTGATTCTTCTCCAAGATATTTGCGAGATCAACTATTAGTTTCACGTGTACAAACGGTAATTTATTCTTCTTATAACGTTCTAAGCTCTTCGTAATTGAAAATTTAAATGAACTGGTATAAATTGGCCGGTAAACTTATATATCAGTTTACATTTTGCATGTACCATACCAGCTTGTAAGAAGTGTGACACAAATTTTCATAAGCCACGCAGAAAATTATAGATATGATTTATAGTGATAATAAATATATTTATCTGTTTAGTACATGCATGAAAATGAAAGTAAAGTCTATATTGATGTTAATGAAATGGCAGATGCCTTGCAAAAAAAATATAGAGATTATCGTACAAAAAAAAGAGGTCCCTTCAGAGCACTAGTACGAAAAGCATATGATGAACTTACAGAAATGTTTGCCAAGAAATATTATTCTCGTGAATGGACTAACTTCGACGATGAAGATGATGAAGAAGAAGTAGATGTCGAGGTATTTATATTTATCTAGAACATTCCATGCGCATATTAAGGAATATTAAGAGAACTGCCTGTCATTTTAGTCAGATCCTCAAAACAGTATGTTGGACGGGATGTTGTTAAAAATGTACAAAAATTCTCAGAACAAACAAAATGGAAATTCAAGTGATAAAGAACTTATAGACATAAGTAGTGATGATGATGTAAGCAAAGTTGACATGAATTCTACGAAAACAAACGAACAGGAATATCTAGAAAAGAATGTACAACAAAAACCAGGCCCATCTTCAAGTTCAGAGAAACTTATACCTAACGTTAAAGAAGCTGAAAAACTGAAATTGGTAAATCTTAATCACTATTTTTATAAATATGATGTTTTAACATTAACTCGATGTGAAAAAATATCACTTAATTTAATTCCTATAGCCATTGAAAGAAGTACAAAAAAGTACAAACAGTTCAGCAGTTGCAGTGTCAGTAATAGAACGAACCACTAAAAAACGACAACGTGAAAAGGATGATGTTAATCAATATATGTTCATGAAAAAAGCCAAAGGAATACCGATTTCTGAACCCAGAGTCACATTTGCAGATATAGGAGGAAACGATAAAGTCCTGAAAACTGTATGTAAATTACTTGCACATATGAAGCATCCAGAGATTTTTAAACAACTTGGTATATCACCTCCAAGAGGATTTTTACTTCATGGACCGCCTGGTTGCGGGAAAACTTTGTTAGCACATGCCATTGCAGGAGTAAGATATTGCTTAATTTGATAAGTAGATCAACTTATGAATTGTTCCATGAACTATCTTATACCTTTTAAAATCAGGAACTGGGATTACCACTACTGAAAGTAGCAGCACCTGAATTGGTGGCGGGTGTGTCAGGTGAAAGTGAAGCACGAGTCAGAGAATTATTTGAACAGGCACTTGCAATTGCTCCGTGTGTCATTTTCTTGGATGAAATTGATGCTGTAGCACCGCATAGGGCTACAGCTCAGCGAGAAATGGAAAGAAGAATCGTTGCACAATTATTGTCATGCTTAGACGGTACTTTATTTGTTTTTCATTAATGACTAAATCGTTGTCGTTGGAATTTATTTTTAAACGAGACATAATATTTCATTAAACAGATTTGAGTTTGAAAGAGAATGGCAGTAGAGTGTTAGTACTAGGAGCAACAAATCGGCCTGACTCGTTAGATCCAGCATTGAGGAGAGCTGGCCGATTTGATCATGAGGTATGCTTGGGAATACCAGATCGAGAAGCGAGAACTAAAATTTTGGCAGTTCATACTGAAAAAGTAGCTCTCGCACCGAATGTCAGTTTATCCACGATAGCTTCACTTACACCAGGTTTCGTTGGTGCTGACCTAGTTGCCTTAATTAGAGAAGCTGCTATGGCAGCTGTGGACAGGTAATTGGTTAAACATTTAGTTCATCAAATATATGAAAAGGATAATGTGTATCATTTAATATTATTGACCATTAGAATACTCGAAGATCTAAAATCAATCTCAGACAATAAATCACCGGAAATAACAGAAATTATTAGTGATGACGCAAAAGATGAAGAAAGTTTTGAGAACTCCGGTAACTTAATCGAGGAAGTAAAGATAGAGGACGCATCTACCTCAGATCAAAATAATGTTCCTAAATTAGAGAAAGCAAACAATCCAGGAAGCCCACAGGCGGTACAAGAAATGGATATAATACAAGAGAATGCAAAATCACCTGGCCTGACAGGATTACTTACTTGGTTACGTAATGATCCACCGCTTCCTTCCGAGCGGCTGTCAAATTTATGTATCGAACACAGCGACTTTGAAACCGCTCTTCGTATCGTGCAGCCATCGGCCAAAAGGGAGGGCTTTGTAACCGTTCCTGATGTAACATGGGATGATATTGGTTCATTGCGAGATATTAGAGAAGAATTGCAAATGGCTATACTGGTAAGTATATATGAAAAGATAATAGAGATCAAATATTTGGTTCTGAAATCACTATTCTGTGACAATTGTCTTCTTCTTTCATTGTTCTAGGCTCCTGTTCGACATTCCGAACAATTTGCAGCATTAGGGTTAACAACACCTACTGGCGTTTTATTATGTGGTCCACCCGGTTGTGGAAAAACATTATTAGCCAAAGCTATTGCGAACGAAGCTGGTATTAACTTTATCTCTGTTAAAGGACCCGAACTTCTAAATATGGTAATGAATTACGTAATGGAATCAGAATTAGTAAGAGATCAATTACTGAGCATCTTATTCTTTTATTCTAGTACGTGGGTGAAAGCGAAAAAGCTGTTCGGCAATGTTTTATCAGAGCTAGAAATTCTGCTCCATGCGTTATATTTTTTGACGAATTGGATGCACTATGTCCAAGAAGGTCAGAAGGTGATAATTCTGCTACTTCCCGCGTTGTAAATCAAATGCTCACCGAAATGGACGGAGTTGAAGGCCGACAGGGAGTATTTCTAATGGCCGCGAGTAATCGTCCTGACATCATTGATTCAGCAGTATTAAGACCAGGAAGATTAGATAAAATTTTATATATTGATCTGCCCACACCAGCAGACCGTGTTGATATTTTGAGGGCATTGACCAAGGTATTTATAAATAATTACAAGAGAGCAATTTTAAAAAGATCATTTTATATAACTCGCACTTGCAGAATGCAACCAAACTGGCTGCGGATGTAAATCTCGAAGAAATAGGGTATAACAGCAAATGTGATGGTTACACCGGTGCCGATTTGGCAGCTTTAATCAGAGAAGCTGGAATCGAAGCATTGAGGGAATTTATGAATATGCAATACACTGGGCAACCAGAAATCTCGATGCGACATTTCTTAGCAGTGTTTGATAAAATAAGGCCGTCCGTCCACGAGAAGGTAAATATCTTTAATATCCAACGGACATAGACCAAATAATTGATGGTAATAAATTTGTAGGATATTAAACATTATGAGAAGTTGAAAAAAATATATTCGATCAGAAAGAAATCTGATGATACTGATATGGAAACTCCAGTAGACACGCCTATAGTAGATGTAGTCATGGAATCTATGGAGACGTGAAATAAGACAAGAATCGAATACACAAAAATGTAAAAAATCATTTCCATTGCAAAGTACTTTGAAACAATGACAAGTATTCATATTGAAGTATATATATTACGCCTTAATTTTATTTTTATAGTTCAGGTATCTTGATATTAATCTTTTCAATTATAAACAACGTAACATTAGAAATTTTTGTTTGATTTTTAGAGCAAAAGCCAGTGTCTATATTGTTCTGACTATCTATTGCAATATCATGGAATACAATATAAACGTTGTATTGGTGATGTTTGTATAAATATGTATTTAAGTAAATTTATATGATCAGAAATAAAAGAATCTATGTTTAATATATTTTTTTTACTGATTTAAATAAGATTCATTAGCTTAAAAAGAAGTTTCAAAAAGTGTTTGTTTAGTTATACCTGAGAATCTTTCGTTCACAATTATGTGAAATATTACTTTTTCTTAATGGATATATTTATTATTTTAATTTTATTACAACTATACATATATTTAATTTTTATTTATCTGCAGAAAGGACAGTGATCTAAATTCTACGTACAAATTGGTAGAAAATTTTATTTATAAACGCTTTATTCATAATAAAATTCTTAATATGTATACATTTTCTTATTCTATTCCTTTGTTCTAAATTATGATTTATTTGTATGGAATTCATTCTCCAGTTATTTCCCAATCCGAATTAATATATTAATTTGTGATAATTAAATATATTATAATATATCCTACTTGGAATATAAAGTTTCAACAGTTAATCACATAAATATTGTATTTTAGAAGATATCAGTCATCAGACGATTTTAATACAAATCCGAAGAAAATACATGATCTACTATCAAAACATGTAGGCATTAATTTTATATATTTAGTATGAGATACATAACATTAAAAATGTGAGCAAATATCTAAGACAGTATTTATATTTATTTCCCAAACATGGTTTGTTTCATAATTGTGAGAGTAAGTTCAATTATAAAACGATGAGTTCATTGCATAGTTCTTGCTATGAAATGCAGCTGCATTGTTAAATGATATAAAACCTATTAATTTATATGCAATAGTATTATTGTATATTATGTGGTTCTGTCGTACGATTTTGCACCACCCAAGAATGATTCAAGACATCTTCTAGAGGTAATCTATGAACTGGATCAACTACTAACAACTACAAAACAAAAATGAGAAAATTAGTATCATCTTACTTTGTAATTTGAAAGTGTAACACTCACCTTAGATATTAAATCTCTAGCACCTTCGCTAACATACTCTGGAAATCTGTAGCGAGCCTTTTTGATTTTCATGTATGTCTCATCATAAGTTTTAGCCAAAAATGGGGGAGTCCCAACTAAACATTCATAACAGAAAACACCGAGTCCCCATAAGTCTACAGTATGATCGTGCGTCTTTCCAGCAACCATTTCTGGTGGCAAATAATCTAGTGTGCCACATAAAGTATTCCTTCTCGAAGAAGGGGCATGGACAGACCAACCAAAATCTGCCATTTTCAATTCACCCTTCATTCCAAGTAATAAATTTTCAGGCTTGATATCACGATGTATCACCTTTTTACTATGACAATACTTCAGAGCATCTGCTAGTTGTGATACATATGTTGCTGTTCTAACATCATCAAAACGCTTATTTGGTTGAGCATTTAATTCCTTGAATAATTCTCCATTCGGAGCATATTCCAGAATTAAATATACCCTTTTGTCATCATGGAAGTAGCCATACATTTTCAAAATGTTTGGATGTCTATATAGAAAATAAAATGTTAAATAAATGGACTTTAATACGTTATATATATTGAGTAAAATGATGACTTAATTAATATTTATTTATTACCTCAAGTGTGTTTGGATTTCTATTTCCCTTCTAACTTGATGTTCCACATCAGCCTTTTGTATTTGAGCTTTAAATAGCACTTTCATGGCAATAATGAATCTTGACTTCTTTTCTCTAGCTAGGTAAACATTTCCAAATTTTCCTTTACCCAAAGGGCGTCCAATATCGAAATCTGTTAACACCCATTTTTTGTCACTTTGATTTTTACTCTTAGTATTGGTTCTTTCTTCATTTTTCATAGTCTCTAATTTATAATCATTTATATTTTCTTTTTCATTTGTTGAAGCAATCTTATTCTGTGTAGATTCTGTTGTTTTAGATGACAGAGGTAATTTGGGTGGTGGCATCAATTCTGTAGACTTTTTGGAACTGCATTCATTGCTTTGCTGAATATCTGTTACACAGTTATTCCACTGATTTCTTGTAGTCTTTACACTTCCTGAATTCTTAGGTATATTTTCACTCAATATAGGATTAACTTTTGATATTTTTAATTGCTTGAGATTATTTTCCATTTGCGAGACCGTTTTCCGTGTTTGATCATTTGCAGTCGCTTGATTCTTCAGCATTGCTGAAATATTATCTGTAATTGGAAATTATGTTATTACTTGTACGTTAAATATTTTTCAATCAAAATTTAACTACGTAAGAAGCTTCAAATACTCTATTATTGCATACATTTCTGAATGGGACTCTGAAGGGACGAAGGAACTCTTCAATCTACACTTTAGAGACACCTTATTGAAACAAATGTCGTGCTTTTCAATAATAGAAGTAACGTACTGCTTTTAAATAATTTTAGCCTATCAGATGAATAACAATATTTACAATACTAACAAACATTTACGTTACAAAGTATTGAAATTACTAACAAAGACGTTGTTCTCGTCAGCCTCACAACTTTCAAAATAACGAATTCGCTTCCTTTCTTTTGATAGGTCAAGTTTTCAAAGACGGCCAACTTCATGGTAAGTTTCAAACTTGACTGAATGCGCCCTCTAACCTAACTTTACATCTACATTAAAAATTTTTAATTTCAAATGTTTTTTATTAATATTTACTACATTCTAGAACATCAGCAGTATATTTTTGTATATAAATGACAAATGTAAATTCTACTAAATACATAAGGAATTTAATCACAAAATTCTTTATAAAAGAATAATACAGGAAGTATTTATTCATTTATTTAATAGATAAGTAGTGTGTTTATTATAGTTTCTTTACAAATATCTGTAAACAGGATTACAAAGATGAAACTTATATTATAGAACGCATAGAAAAATATTTTATACAAAACAAAATTGATACATTTTACATGAACTCAAAATGAAATCAAAGTTACACAGT